CCGATGCGGGACTCGATCCCGGGACTCCAGGATCATGACCTGAGCCGAAGGCAGTCGCTTAACCAACTGAGCCACCCAGGCGCCCCAGGTTTTAGCCTCTTATTTTAAATATGATGAAACTGATATCACTGAGGTGACTTTCCCAAGGCTGCAAAGTTCATTCTTGGCAGAGCTGGGCTACAATCTGCGTCTCCTGACGCACCCCCCACCCCCCGCAATCTGACATTCATTCTTCAATACCCTGTTACTATTAGTGTGCTTTTATCTGACTGCCTCACTAAGCTACACAAACCCCCAGTGGGGGATGTCTTTCTCAGAAGTTTTCATCCAGCTAGTAATTTTCATTGCTTAACAAACACCTCACCTTAACATCTACGTTAAAAAATCCTGGTGATATCCTTTCTACAATTGCAGTCCTCTCAGCCTGTTATTCCCTTCATTTAACCTTCCTCCCAGGCTTGCGTTTAGTTCTACTGAAATAAGGCACGTATTTCTGCCTTTGCAGGCATGGTTGCTCCAGGCCCTACGCTAAGAAAGTGCTTCACACAGGTTACTTTATGTCACACAACAGGTAAGAGAATGGACATCGAGCTAGGTAAGTAACTTGTCTCAGGTCACACAAATCAGGAGACACTGGACTTAAGCCAGCGTGTTTGTTCAGAAGCCGAAGCCCATTATACCCTACTTCAACAGAACTGTCCGCCTTTTCTCCTGAAGCCTGTCAGGAAAGAGTAAGGAAGGTCACTGCTTTTCATATTAAGAGGAGGGGAAAATCTCTGCAAAGTAACTATCAAAGTAATACTTCATACATACACATTCTGCATTGATATTATATAAAGTAATTTACACACATTACCTCATAGCAGGCATACTTATGGAATGGCGAATGGAGTAGCTTCAGGGCAAAAGCAGATTAAAAGAAAAAAAAAAGAAAAAAGAAGATAGCACAACATAAGTACATGAGAAGCTCCCTATTCACAGTTCTAAAACAGCAATTTCAACTGTCTTAAGTATTCCTTGCCCACCCCACCAAGATGACGTTTGTTTTCGTTGGGTAGGGTGGGCCACGGTCAGCTTTCAAGGGTATAAGGGAAGAGTACACTGTCCAAGTTGGGTGTTATTTTATGTCCTGTGGGTTCCCGGTATGCCAGGAAATCTGAGGAGAATGTCTGGTTTCTCCAGGTGCTCCCAGGAGCCCGTGGACATCCTCCCCAGGTTCAACTCCCACTCCCTTCTCTTCTTTCTTCTTTCAGGAAGAGAGGAAGGGCTGTACCTAGGAAGGTACAAAGGCAGGTGAAAGCTAGTTGTTCCGTTGTAGAGAAACTCTCCAGAGGAATATATGTGGTTCACATAAGACATTCAAGGAAACACATATCAGGCAAATACAATCCACACAGTCCAACATGGGAGCAGGGACCTCTGCATCCATTCTAGGATATCTGGTACAAATACATCAACATTTCTGAGAATTCTAAGAGTTTTAGCCTTCTCACTCTATTGATCCTATGGTAGCTGGCTCATCTTCCCTCTGATGGATCACCTGTTACTCCTTTGTGAGTTCCACTCAGAAATCAGGCTAGGATGAGGGAGGAAGCCCTATGTATGGGGTCTCTGTTCCTGGGATAGTGCTCCCCCATTACACTTTCCAACACCATCCCTGCGTCTCCTCCCAAGAAGCTAACAGTAAGGGATCAAACTCCTCACCCTTCCCCGACAATATCCACTGAGGTCATCAGTATGGGCAGCACTTTACTAGAACTCAGAAAGAAAAGGACAAAAAAATTCAGGGAGTACTTATGGTCTTACTTAGACACTCCACTTAGAAAATATAGGCAAATATTTCCCCAGAAATTACATTAAAAAAGGAACTAGTAAAAGAAATTAATCAGCATTATCAATCTATTCATCTCTTTAAATACAGGCAGTTTTCTTAGGAAAAAAAATCCACCCCCCAAAAAATATATCGTAAGATTCCTGCTGAAGGAGGGTTTAATTGGACAGTTGCACACTTCCAAACATATGAGCTTCTGGAAACCTTTCCCCTCTTCAACTTCAGAAGGTACAGAAAGTTGAAGGTGAACCATCCACATAAGAAACAGTTACAAGACGTTCAGAAAAACACAACACTTTTCTGTTTCTCGATTTTACTTTTTACACGTCTCATAAAAACATACAACTCTCAATTTCTGCTTTTCTTTTTTTCTTCTTTCAATACTGAGGACCTCTGCCAATGCGGGAAGGATTGAGAATGTAGGAAGGGATTCCTAAGAGATTGCTCAGCAAGTGAAACTGGTATAAATGATTCCAAAATGAGACAACTAGATGCTTAAATAAATTCAATCACATCAGAAGCCCTACACTCTGTAAACCCCTGGTCACGAACACTCTCAGGAAAGGAGACCCCATGTTTTGGCTGAGGCGCACCCATGGTGTGAAGGGAGCAGTGGACTCTGGGAAGGAAGGGAGCAGCAAGGGGGCCGGTAGGGCCCTAGAGGCAGCGCTTACCCAATGGAGTGAGACCTGCAGCCCGGGGAAGCAAAAGAGAGAGCAGGACCAGAGTTAGCATATCAGCACCGCAGTGCCCTTGTCCCCCCTCTCAAGAGCCCCAAAGCAAAGATGACATGACTCCATTCATTACTCTTTGGGAGTATACTTTTTAATGTGTCTTAACAATTACTATATCAACCTCTTATAAGTTGTACTTCTAACTACTGTTCTCATGACTATAGAGAGATGGTTGGACTCGAATAAAAGTTCTATGCTTCCTTCAAAGAGCCTCATCTCCACCTGTTCACACGTGGTTTGAACAAATGACTGAGAAGTTCCAAGAAGATGCCGGTATTATTATAAAAACAATTCCAAGAGCTTGCATTGCTTCAGAGTACTTTCATAAATGTGTCCTTGTTTTACCTTTGCAGGAAGCATTTTAGTTAGGTAGCTGTGAACAATGTTATTTTACAGGTAGAGAAAGAGAGGGGGTTAGTTCCCTAATGGGGCTATGGGGACTCAGTCAACGGCAATCAGGATAAAATGAGAATCTTGGCCTGAAAAATATGACTTGTTTTTATAAAACACATCAATTTAAATCCTCACAGAATGCTTTTCATTAACTTATTAAAAGGCCCAAGTTCTAAGTTTTTAAAATCTGTAAGTATTAACTTGTAATAATTAAAAAAAAAAAACTGAGAGGTATCTGAGCTTTGCTGGAAATCTTTTTGAACAAGTTCAAAAATTTTTTCCCAGAATGCACAGAAGAATTTTATAGTATAAATAACAGGAATATAGGATAAAATGATACTTTATATTAAAAAAGAGTTCAAAGTAAAATGTGATATAATTTTTAAATTTAGCATTTTATAAATTGGCAAATCAATTTAAACGAAAAATAAAAACTTTCTCATTTAAAAATCTTTATTATACAGAATGTAAGTAATTTTCAAATGTGACTTTCACATACGTTACTTGTTCTAGCATAATTTAAAACTGAAAATTTTTTGTAAAACTCGTTGCTTTCGCAGGGACTGATCCTCAGATATATATGTTAGATGTTTTAGTTTGAGAAAAATATAGGTCTGAATTTTGCAAACTCTACAACATTTTACAGGACCATATTTGAGTCTCCAGTGACATACTTTCCAGTATTTTTAGCCAAGTTTATAATGAAAGTATTGTATCCTCTATATAGAGAAACAATTAATGAAAAGTTTGAAACTTCTGGAAAATAGATCATTCGTTACCCTAAAACAAAGCCACACTGAAACAGAGAAAAAGAAGTCAACACAACCTTGATGTTATAGCCAATTAGTTTATGAACGTGAATATGTTGACATACTGCGTAAGTGAAAGGGTCTTCATTTTCTTCCACTTAGGAAAACGAACAAAACCTTTATGAAATACCACAGTGCACTCCTGTTAATGTATACTCCCTCATTTCCATTATGTGGGGTCACCTTTTAACTGAGATGGTCACTTAGGATAAAAACTAGCATTTATTGAGTGCTTAATAAATGGCAGGCTCTCTTCTCTTATCCTCATTTCGTAAATGAGAACACCTGGATACAGGTGAGCTAAGTTACATGTGGCCTCCTCATAACCTAACCACCTGACGGTGAGCCACTTAACAGCTTGTTACAAATGCAGATTCCTAGACTCCGCCCAAGACCCACTGAGGCATGATCTCGGAGAGGTGGAATCTGGAATATGTACTTTAAATAGGATTCAGCGGTGTTTGTAAAGTCTCCTAAATTTGGAGAAGTAACACTTTAGTATCATGGGGTGGTTCTAGTGTTCCAGTGGAAGGTTTCAACTAAGAATGTGGAGGACAAATTTTATAAATATGGCAAAATATATTTCCTTGGATATAGCAGGTAAGAGTGTATTTTCTGTTTTGAGAAATTATTTAATTATTTAATTAGTTTAGATAAACATTTTTAATGCCATTGACATGACAACAAATTTTATTTGTAATAAAATGTAATAATAAAATGTAATAAAATCAGGGTTAATTAATAATCCAGAAGGTTTACCTATTCATCACATGTAGCCTCTGAAAAATTTCAGTTGCTTTTCATTATCGCATTATCAATAAATACGAAGATAAAACAATGTAATTCAGATTCATGCACATGTAACTCTAGCCTCATGAATGCCAACTTGTGAAGATAATGCAGGGGCACAATCCAGAAATGTATGAAGCCAAAAATAACCTAAACACAACAATATAAATATTTGCCTCTAGGTATCGAAGTTGTAGGGTAGTAAAGAAATAGTTTAAGAATCCAGTGAAATTATATGCAGTTTTTTTAAAAGAAAGACATTTAAAATGTGTACTTCAAAACTTTTTAAAAAATGAATTCGATTTCTAGATAGAAAAATAAAATTGATATAAAGTCTCCCAAATATATCACCAAATTCAAAATAAACTATGAAAGGTATTTAAACAAGCAAAAAAAAAAAAAATGAAAGTAACAACTCTATAGATAGGTAACTTACTAAAACATAATGTAAAAAATAAAAATGGTAAAAACTGCACTGTTTTTTCTGGCGCCTATAGTGAGGACAATTGGTTCTCAGTTCAAAATCTTTATGTTCACCCTAACTTTATATAATAATGAAATACTGAAAATAACCCAAATGTGCAAGGACTATATACCATGGTACCTTTTTGGAATAAAAGAATAAAAATGTATGTTTTTAGCATAGAAAAAGATCCTAGATGGATGTATACAAAAATGTAACTTAGAATAGTTTATCAGAGTATATTCCACTGAATGCATATTTAACTTACTGTTTAAATTTTAGTGAATAAAATTCAGGATATGCTGCATTCTTTTGAAATCCCCCCCCCCTTGTTACCAGTAATTAAAGGAGACCCGGATCTCCCATTTTTATTAGGTCATGTCCTAGTGGAAAGGGCATGTTTGGGACCAGGCTCACTAAGCAAATCAGCAGGCAGAAAACTCTTCATTATAAAAGTCGATCTCAGTCACCAATCATCATCAGCCGAGTAACATGTTAATCCAATTAAAAAAGAATATGTTAGGAAGACCAGCCAATAGAGAAAGCTGCCCTTCCCTCAGAAGGCCAAAGGCTTAGCAGCGTCCCCATGGATCTCTCCCACAGTACCTCATGTCTCCAAACTTCTTGCTGATGGCCGTCCCAACGTTGCTGAACGCTGCAGTTGCCTTCTGCCCTGCGTGACTCAGGGTTTCGTGTGTTTTCTTGTAGCTAGAAGTAAAACAGAACAACAGAAACACAGTTTATACATCATGACCGCCCACAGAACATTCGCCATCCTTCTCCCTCCTTACTTTGAAAATTCCTTTTCTAAACAGCTTTAGGAAGAAGATGATCCACAGAAGTTCGTGATTCTATTCATTGTCTGGGGATGATGGGTTGACTGCCACTCATCGGTGGGAAAGTCAGAACGTTACATCTGAATTCAGGAAAAATACTCATACGCAAGCGTAACGTGCAGGTCAGATGTGTAATCACAAGCAACAGATGTGCTCTCAGAGTACAGTCATTCTTAAAGAAGTGTGTGTTTTAACTCTACGAAGAGACACTTGCAAGGAAACAATTAGCCATCAGAGGTAACACAGGACCTAGAAAATGCATATTCAATATGAAGATTCAGCTTTTACGTTCAGGGGTAAAATTAACAAGAAAAGGGCAAACTAGTATTTTGCTTATTTTTCTAATATTCATGGCTGGAAATAAGAAGGGCACATGATCTTAAGATAATATAGTGACCTTTTTCCAAAACAGTTTTAGAAAGATAATTCGGCAATTGTCTGTTCATTGGCCTATGTTCCCACCAGACTGACTCCTTGAGGACTCGGAGTAAAAGTCAAAGTCCACACAACAGGCCTCAGGATGATCTTACACGAGCTGGCCCTCTCACCCTCCTCTTCCCACTTGCTCCCCCGGCTCCAGCCCCCAGGACCTCCTTGCTAGTCCACGGACATACTAGGCCCCATCCTGCCTTAAAACCTCTGTTCCAGCTGCTCTGCCACACGATCCCATCATATTTGGGGGGGGAAAAAAGGGTTTTGTTGTTTTGTAAATGCCCCACTTTGAAAAATTAAAAAGAGCAAAACCTGCACCCTTAGTAAGACTGTGAAAGCCACCTTTTGCTGTCGATCAGGGCCAGAGATCCCTGGGGCCTTGGCCAAGTGGATGTCGGCAGAACAGAACTGGGCTCTGGAGGCGGGGCAGACACATGGGTAGAAAAGGATACAAGGAAAAGCGAGAGAAGAAAGTTCACTGAGCATCCACCCGGCACTGAGTCTGTACGGCCTGAAAGGGGGCTCAAGGGAAAAGTAAAGAAAGACCCTGCAACATCCATGACCTTTGTGTGAGGCTGGGACTGGCGACTAGTTAGAGAATTCCTTCTTGTGTTGCTCCTGCATTTCTACAGGAATTTCTTGCAATTACAGCAAATATTTAATTTTTGCTTGTAACTGTTTCTTGTGAGCTGTTCCCTGTAGTTTAACTTTATATATTTGAGAATGCTTCGAATTTTGAGATGAGGTGACTTTTGAACAGGCGTGGGTATATCACATTCTGCATTCGATGGCTTAATTTCAAAACAGCTAGCCAGGGAGAAGTACATCTAGTAAGCAATAAGTGCTAGCTAGCTACGTTATGTTTCAAACGCACTCCTCTAGAACAATGTGTGGTGGGTATACATGGGCATCGGACTACTTTAGTGGAGTATTGGTGACATTAAGTCCTCACCGTGAAAAATGCAACTCTATACCTATGTGAAATGTTAAAGTTTAAAATCAACCATCTGGAGAGCTCAAAGGAGAGCTGAAGAGAGATTTTTAGGACTGTTTACTCTTTATTTATGAGAATTACATAATGTTAAATCTGAAAGGCACTAGAGTCCAATTTCTTCAGACTACAAATGATGGGACTGGACTGAGGCCCAGAGAACTGTGTGACCTTTTAAAGACAGAGACAGGGCTAGGACGAGTGTGCCTGCCTTCCTGCAGAATGTCTCCTTGCCTTGGAGATGACAGACATTTGAAGGTGAGTGAGGTCAGCTGTCTATAGTGCAAGTATTTGTGGAGAAAAGTAATAATACTGCATCTTAAGACTTCTAAGATGTACCTCTTTCCCCATATTTTTACACCTCTCCTCCCTAGACTAACGACCACATTTCTTAAAAACGATTACTAGCCATCCTACATACATTACATAGAGACCAGTAATTGAGGGAAAGAGATTTAGGGGGAAGGGGGCAATGAGAGAGGGTGATATGAGAAGAAATGGTTTCCCAGAACAAAGTAACCGGGGATCCCGTGAGAAATAGGCCATGGGGCTCAGAGCACTTAAAAGCTCTAAGAAGCACTACTCACATCACAGTGTAAGCCAAGGGAACCCCTGGAGCTGTGTACCGCAGAGACCCTGTAAGCTTACACTGCATTCTAATTGGGCTCGATCTTAAAACTGAATGAAGTCATACACATCCCTATCTAGAGGCAAGGCACCCACATGTTGAAAAAAGACCCTCCTGTCAGGCCACTGAAAATCCTGAAGGATGTCATTGCATTTACATCTTATTCCCTTTATTGTGCCATGGAATTCAGTACACAGTCCATACTCCTAAAACTCCTAAAATTACGTTCCATAATATTGAAATAATGAAAAATAATGTAAACACCAACCTTCTGATTGACCTGACAACCTTGTAATTTAAATGGAAATGGTAATTTAGCATTTTAGATGATGTCTCTCAAGCTAAATATAAAGTTACACCATTGCTGAGTTACATCCTTGATGAAACAGGAGACAACTACATTCTCCTGAAATAAACGTCAAAATGTTACGGGACCCTCAGCTTGCTGTCATTTGTGCACTGGGAGGCAGAAAGATGGGAGCAGATGCTCCCAGAAGTCTGTGTTATGTGCCTTTCCTCTGTGTTCCTGTGATGCACTTTGCACAGCTCTTTCCAAACACATTTTTCACTCTGTTGCAATTACGGTTTTCCAGTCTGCCTCTGTGACCTGCCTATACTTCCTGAGGGCAGGGCCTGCATCTCGTTCATCATCCCCGTGTCCCTGGGGCCTGGATACCCCAGAGCAAGAGCCACAGGAGGCCAGAGGAAGGAAATAGAGTCCGGCTGACTGCCAGACTTCAGCGATAGAAGAGAGTCAGGACTTTGCAGTGTGCGGCTCCGGACTCTGGAGGAGGGCCACGGAAGCCTGCCCTCGAGGCAAGGGCAATTTGTCTTGGGGGTCTCCAAAGTGATTCCAGCAAACAGTAGCTTTGTGTAGGAGCCTGTGGGTCCCGCTGGAATCTGGTCCAGGGCTGAACCTTTTTTTTTTTTTTTTGGTAGAAGTGTAACCGTGCTAGCAAATCGTAGCTCACACTTACTGCATATTTATATGCATTAACTCACTGAAGACTTGTTATTGGGAGAGTTTTTTAATTTAGGGCATAAGTAAGCTTTCTACTTTTCATTGAAAGTCAATGGGAACACAGGCTTTACTTTTCAGAGATCGTTTGGCTGGAATGGATAGCCTTTTTTTTTCAGCTTTACTGAGGTACGAATGACAAAACTGTAAGATATTTAAAGTGTACGTCGTAATGATTTGATATACATATACATTGTGAAAGAATTCCTCCCACTTAATTAACACATCCGTCACCTCGCATGTTTTTATATATATTTTGGTGAGAACATTTAAGTCCTACTCCCTTTGCAAACTTCAATTATACAGTACCGGTATCAACTAGAGTCACTGTTATACATTTGATCCTCAGACTTTTATTCATCTTATAACTGGAAGTTTGCATTTACCAACCGTCCCCTTTTTCCGCTACTCTACTGCCCCTAGCAACTACCCTTCTACTCTCTGCTTCTAAGAATTTGACTTCTTTCTAAAAAAATTTTTTTAGATTCCATATATGAGTGATACCATGCAGTATCTGTCCTTCTCTGACTTATTTCACTTAGCATAATGCCCTTGAGATTTGTCCATGTTGTCCAAAGGCAAGATTTCCTTCTTTGTCATGGCTGAATGTTATTCCATTGGGTATACATATATATATGCCACATCTTTCTCTTTTCTTTCTTTTTTTTTTTAAGATTTATTTATTTATTTTGAGAGAGAGCACAAGCAGGGGGGCAGAGGGAAAAGGAGAGAGAATCTCAAGCAGACTCCCTGCTGAGCAGGGAGCCCAGTGTGGGGCTTGATCTCATGACCCTGAGATCAGGGCCTGAGCCAAGACCAAGAGTTGGACGCTTAACCAATTGAGCCACCAGGAGCCCCTAAGCTACATCTTTTTTAAGGAATGGATAACATTTACTGGCCAGAACAGTTGAACTGTTTGGCCAGCACACTGACAAGGGGATCTTCAGTAGGGAGAAGTAAGGTTCTCTGCAAACCGAATAAAAGGCATTCTATTGACTTTTCATGCAATTCACCTTGTCATGTCTTACTGATTTGAAAGTAGTGTCAGTAATCAAAAGGAGAAAGTATATCTTCTAAAACGTTTTGACTTAAAGCATTTTTTTTACACACAAATGAAAGAATTTAAAATTCTAAGTCTTTTGACAAGAAGATATTGTATAGCACAAATACATTTTTTTGTTACGGGATTTTAAGAAGCTTATTATTTTAACAGTTGCCCATGCAGCATTTCCCCAAAGACACAGAAGTATTTAGGCTTATTTTCTTCCGGAGGTTCCTTAAACATGTTACCAAAAGAGATTTATCACTTGAACCTGGAAAAGAAGAGCCTACTTCCTGCTTTGTGTGATAAGATGAAAGGCAAAAGGTAAGCAAAATAAACAGCTGTCTGAGAGATCGACTATGTGTGTCTTTTGAAATTAGGTCTTTAATCTTCACTGGCACTTCCCAACTCCACCAGTGCGACAGTGGGCTCCTCATAAAAGAAGAGGTAACTGTCATTACTGACTATAATGCTTTGGAAGTCTTAGAAGCTCAAAATCAAAGAGTAAATAAATCACAAACGAAACTTCAATTTTCAACCACCACGCATTTTTTAATGCTGCATTTTACTCTTTATAAGGATGAAGTTATTAATTGTTGCAAAGGGATGGAATGGTTTAAATTCCTTCCCAAAACCTTCTCCCCTTGGCAGACCTACCATTTGGTCTGTAGTACAGCTTAGAGGGGTTTATTAGTGGAGAAATGTCATGGGTTACCGAAGGCTCAAGACTTATTAAAATGAAGCCTATCAGTTTGAATAGC